AACGTATTTCTACGTTGCCTTATGGACAGTTCTATAACACTGAGTGTTCTGTTACCAAAGGTTTCCCTACCTTAGATATTCTGATCAATTTTGTACACCTGTCCAATTAAGCTGGGCTTCCGCTGTTTGATCTTCCCCGCGACTATCTTAGATGTTAGATCTCTGATGGGTATGATACTGAGCCAGAGGTTATGGCAGATTATCAGGGTAACTTGATATAAAAATACTGTCATTCTCCAACTAATTGGTGGTCGAGTTCCGTTTAATGCACCACGGTCTATACCACATAATATCATGCTGGTTTTTTTTTTTTCTTTTTTCTTTTTTCACTCCTTTAGCTTTGAAGTTGCTGTTATTTTTCTACAATTTAGTATCGAAAAGAAAATTGACTGCAAAGTCACACGCTTAGCAAAGAAATGATTCGTTGAAATATTTACAGGGTGATATCTTAACAGAATGGACAAATTTAACACATGTTCCTATATTACATATCGGAATATCAATATTCATTTTCTAAAATTGATATATGATATTTTGATCTGTAAACCATACGCACACTAAACACTGGTTCTGTCGTTACAGCATTAACTGCATGCCTCTCCCGAGGAAAAAAAAACTTGAAATGCTTTACAATGATTTATGAGTGAGTGCAAAACACTCTGTCGAGTGTTTAATATCCCTTCTCATTAATTTCTCATAGAGCTGAAGTGACATATGTTTTCTGTATGTATATTTAAGCGTGTGAGATAAAAATGATATATCTTAATATGACAAACTGTGTCATATCCGTTAAGTACATCAAAGTGGGTATAGTGTCATTATCAAATACATTACATACACGCATACACATATATGATATCTCTTCTCCTCTATTGGTAATTTTATCTCAAGCGTCATCTAATGTTGAGTGCGTTAAAACTGACTGTTGATGCTTCTAAAGCCCAAAGCGGCAACCAAACATCGTGAATGACGACGATTGTAAGTTATCCTTTGTTCTAATGTGTATCTGAATGATCGCACACCCTAGCGAGTTTTTTTTTCTCGTCAAGATATAAATCGCAAGTACAACACTTCTGATAACGAGTGGTACATTGATAGTAAATGATAGATTCCACTGTCCGTACTTATATCAAGACTTGAGAAAAACAGTTGATGATCAAACGATAAACAAAAACAACCAGGTTATCTTTACATTGAACGATCGGCGTATCTCTATAACGGGAACAACTTCTTGAAAATCTTCCACGCATGGGCAGCTAAAATAATAGTAAACACAGATTACACAGAAGCAAAGTATCAACATTGAATAGGTGTCTGTTAATCTTTCAGCCATTACAAAATGGCTACTGTGAAGGGTTTGATATTGGCCTGTTCACACTGCGCTAGTACTACTGCACTGACACCAAGCCGGTGACAGACATTCTATGCGATCGTTGGACGAAACCGTTGGTGACCGATGCTACAGTGTCCATATCTCGTTAGGCTGGCTATTGTTATGGCGGGCAAACTTTACAATTAAGTGTTGTGTAAAGCTGGACAAAGCTGTGTGGTCGAAGGAAAGTGTCTTATTGATATAAAATGTCTGATAATAGGGTGTGAACTAGGATTTATATTGTACTTATTTACGACGGCGGATGCGTTAAGCAAGTAAAGTGTGTCATTAGTCTCGAGGGAACCGATCGAGAAAAACTGGTCGCTAGCTCATAGTCACGTGTTGTTATTTCGCGCTTAACCATATTGATGCGCGTGTGTGGAATCTAAAAAGAGGAAGATATTTTGATTGAATTATGAAAACTTGTCTATGATTCGTTTAAAATGCTAGATGTAAGTTATAAGAACACTGTTATGTATCTTGATGGATGTTTTACTTTCCTTAACAAAATCATATTAAGTAAAGATATGGGTAGGATTAACCAACAAAAAAAACAAGGTTATCTTTTAATACAGTTGTAATGTTCGTTTCAGCTCCTGTGAAGTAACCGCTGTTAAAAAAAACCTTTGTTGGCACGATCTTATCAAGTTTATAAAAACGAAGTTCAAGGTCACTGGATGACCTCATCATACTTCTTAAGATGATAACCAGTTTTATTTAGGCGAGAAAATGTGTTGTCATACAGGGAGAGTGTGGTGACGAGCGGGTCGAGCAAATTATAGAGAAGGTAACACGCCCACCCATGTCGTTAAATAAGGCAGATGGGCGTGGTCTCGCAATCAGCAAAGACAACGCGTTTGTGAGTTAAACAGAATAACTAATGGATGAGCATATGGACAATGTACGCGAGGTCATAGAGGGGAGAGTAAGCTACTCTGGCAACGTTGAGGTCATAGAGGGGAGGGAAAGCTACCCTGGAAAAGGTGTGGTCACATAGAGGGTGTGTCCTAGTCACATAGGCGGTGTCTTCCTCATCATACAGACGTGATGATAACCCTAACTTTCCTGGTTATGTTGTCTAGATGAACTGTGTTTGCACGTGTTTATCTGTTTTCATACAAGAGATTCGCACGTTATCCGAAAATCTCACCGAAATTAAATGGAGAGCAGATATTATCGGGAACACGTAAGACTCCTATAAAGAATTTCTCAGGGATTATAGTATCTTTGAACTTCGTGTTTACAAAAATTATAGTTAAAAGCATGTACCCTAAAATAAACATGATATCTCCCTATTCAAAACCCGATGATGCTGCAAAACCCCCAGGTCGTGTGTGAAAAAAAATTAAACGGTCGAAATAGGAGGCATTTACTAGACGATGTATAAATATTCGCCCTGGTGTTTGATGAAACCTTGTAGTATGACTGAGAAAGGCATTAACTAATACGGCCGTAATACGGATATTTAAATATCATTTGTCAGCATCAAATAAAGATTGTATATGTTCCATACATAAACGTGTCAACATACCAAAGTGTCACTTGTGGGTTCTCCTATTGATTGTTGGTTTGAAATATTACCATACGTTATTTGTAAGTCATGAGCAAGACTTAATCACTTTCCTGGAAGCTTGTAACAAGAAGTATTGTTATATACAGTATTGTGCTTTCCTATTCTGTCCGTTTAATATAAATTTTGATATACCTCATGCTCTCAGAATATACACACTTTTTTAAGATCAGCTCTGATATTGATGTTTTATGGTGTTATGCCGTCACCTCGCAACATTCTGTCTGAAAGGGCACGACACGATGGGTAATTATGGTAGGGACGATGTATCAGATGTAAGCACACTGTCCTATGGGTTGTCATGATAGGACAAGTCTTGTGGATTGTCTTGAGAGGGGGGCTGTTTGAGGGTCATATGGATTGCAGTTATACATGTAGGAGATGTTGTACATGGGATTGATGAAACAAGGAACTTATTATAGATTGTCGTAACTGAACATGTAGCCCTGTATACTGATGAAGGAATGAAAACTCGTCGTTACGAATCGTCATGGTAGTGTGATACAAGGATCCCGGTGTTAAATAGGTCTTGTGGTGGCCATGATATTAAGAATGGTTGTACAGAGTAGTAAGGGAGGCTGGGCTGTAGATTAGTGTAGCAAGGGAAAGATGGCTTGTTAGATTTGTCGTGGTAGTGCACACTAGAGGGAATGCTTGACTATGGATTATCTTTGCAGGGTTACGATATTTGTTTTTGGTAGGAAACATTTCCAATGACTTATCATAATAAGGGACATGTTAATGGGATTGTAGTGGTAAGACATGGCATTCTGTTAGTAAATGATAAGGTAACTGATATGATGGCGTACTTGTGGGATATAAGTATGACGGACACGTGTTGGTGAATATCATAGCTTGGCACACTATGGGTATGTAGAGACAGTCCTTTGAATTATTGTTGTTTGGAACTTTTGGGTTTGGATTGCTGGTGTAGGGCCAGTTCAATGATTTATCGTTGAGGTCAATTCCTTAATGGGACTCTGTCGAAGGGTACATATTTCGCAACGAACTTTATTGTAGGAATAGCTACTAATTTAAGTCAAAATGTTATATAGATAGTGTTTTGGGGGTCACAGTCATGTCAGGAGTCGTGGTACGGACAAAATTGTATAGGTCATAGTGAATACCATTGTGAGGAAAGCAAGCATCTCAAGTTATACTGTTATATAGATGGTGATTTGGGGGTCACAGTCATGTCAGGAGTCGTGGTACGGACAAAATTGTATAGGTCGTAGTGAATACCATTGTGAGGAAAGCAAGCATCTCAAGTTATACTGTTATATAGATAGTGATTTGGGGGTCACAGTCATGTCGGGAGTCTGTGGTACAGATAGAATTGTATAGGCCGTAGTGAATACCATTATGAGGAAAGCAAGCATCTTAAGTTATACTGTTATATAGATAGTGATTTGGGGGTCACAGTCATTTTGGGGGTCACAGTCATGTCGGGAGTCTGTGGTACGGATAACGTTGTATGGGTCGTAAAGTCAACGACGTCATGGTAGGGACCTGGCACCGTGGATTGGTCTTCTGACGAGCTGAGTAAACAGCATTCATTGTCAAGTGAGGAGAGTCTTATCGAATGTCGTGGCCGAGACAGAGTGTTATGTAAAACCATCCAAGTAACACATCCCTATTGTTTTCCTCAATCGTCGTTGTAGGAGACATGATTTATGGTTTTTATATAGGGTAATGGTTTTATTAAACGCACTGCATCAATGTGAATCTTACACGAGCGTTTACTGGTCCCTTAAATGTCGGGAATCTGATTAACCATTAAGATAAGCTAATACATCGAACTCATACATCATTACGCTACCAAACGACCAGAATTAGTTTTTAATTACCCGTTTGATATAATGGCTGTATAAACACAACACATAGCTTGGTTTTTCTTAAAAGTAGAACCCTTGTATTTGAATGTTTTCTATTATCGAAGATGCTGACAAACTCTAAAGTTTTCAAGTAATGCAATGGCATGAACTTCCGGTGCAGACACAAATAGTCGATGAGGACCAAGGTGTTGGCACCAATAAAACATATAAATTTGGGACTTACCGAGGGTAATAGGAGGGTCCCCACAGACTCGATCAGGCCCAACAGATCAAGTTTCTTCTCTCCTTCCGTCTCATCTGATCCTATTGAGCAAGTGGACATGTTACTAGTTTTTCGACTCGTGCCAGAGCCGATAATTTCAGTCCCAAGAGACGCACTGGACATAGTGCCCTTTCCGGGTCCGTGGTGGTTGTCGGACAGTGCATGTTTGCCCTGACCAGTCTGGGTACTGGTGGTAGTTGTTTTTATAGCGTCCTGGGATTCATTGGCACTGCCATTTGGTAATGAAGATGGCTCAATGTTATTGTTATTATTTTTTGTCTGTTGTGACACTTTAGCGTTCTCTATAGCGTTTCTAAACGGGCAGCCGCTCATCTTGGCACAGAAAGTGTCACATCCACACAAATATACGTAAATCAAGATTTAACCGCACGTACGCACCTGTCATAAAATGCCGGTATGTAAAAGGTCAACAACACACAGATACACAATTTTCTAATATAAGATCGAATTCCTAATGCAGTTTTCATTGATTTAAAGTATTTTCCGGACGACCATCACAAACCATCAAGTAGATTGACTCCTAGTGTGGTTAATCAGGAGAAACAGCGACAGGACTAGAGTTTAATTCCTTTTAGTATCTGACACAATAGCTGCCATCGTTCCTATAGTGTATTTACAGTGCCGTTCTGTCCTGCTACAATGTTTACACCTAGAATCTCACCTGAATCCTGCTCTACCTGTTGATTAGTTTAACATGTGTAACACATATACAGTGTGTCTTATCTTACGGCTAGGGTGGGCCTACACCCTTCCTACTGTCTTCCAGAGTATTTATATAAACTTCAAACTACACAGTCGTGTCCGCGTAGGCATATAACCTCCACTAACTATATGTTAATCCGCAATCTATTTCTTATTATATCTGTTGTGGGTACCAGCACGGCCGACAGTGTGCCGATCTCCCCTCCATACAAACACGACCAGTACATGTGCGGACGGTCTTACACGGCAGATCAGGCAAGCTCTACTACCGCGGGCGTCGTGTATGCTCAGCTTGTTTAAAATCAGGCGATGAAAGACGGCAACATTGCTATATAGCTAATGTAAACACAAAACGCGAACGGCGGACGAGCCAAAGTAATACTGAATCTCTCTGTGGAGATTTCTTTAGTCAGGACGGGCAATAACCTCAACCTGTTTGTGATTGAAAAAGGTTACGCTCAACATCAAAGGCATCAAACGAGGATGTGATCGTCACTAATTTCTTCCTTTCCTGATCGATTTATCTGTGATTTGTTAAAGCTGATTAGTTTCGATCATGTTAGCGTCCTATTTGTACGGTAGTACTGAATAAATATGTTATCGACATTGTAATACTAAGGCCTTTCGGACGTGGCATGTTTTTTTGATATATTGTGAAATAGAAATTGTGACGTCATCGTAAGCACTTAATAAGTATTACTGAAAACATCTATTAAATAACCGACCAGAGGTTAGACAATTAAATCTTGCATGTATAAATAATAAACAAAGCAATATAGAAAAGATGTAACATAACTACGATATAACTGTACTGACGAGATGTAACATAACTACGATATAACTACTGACGAGATGTAACATAACTACGATATAACTACTGACGAGATGTAACATAACTACGATATAACTACTGACGATATGTAACATAACTACGATATAACTGTACTGACTAGTGTACTACGAGACGAGATGTAACATAACTACGATATAACTGTACTGACGAGATGTAACATAACTACGATATAACTACTGACGAGATGTAACATAACTACGATATAACTACTGACGAGATGTAACATAACTACGATATAACTACTGACGAGATGTAACATAACTATGATATAACTACTGACGAGATGTAACATAACTACGATATAACTACTGACGAGATGTAACATAACTACGATATAACTACTGACGAGATGTAACATAACTACGATATAACTGTAACTGTAACATAACTACGATATAACTGTACTGACATAACTACGATATTACTGTACTGACGAGATGTAACATAACTATGATATAACTACTGACGAGATGTAACATAACTACGATTTAACTGTACTGACGAGATGTAGGATAACTATGATATAACTGTACTGACGAGATGTAATGTAACTACGATATAACTGTACTGACGAGATATGACATAACTACGATATAACTGTACTGACGAGATGTAACATAACTACGATATAACTGTACTGACGAGATGTAACATAACTACGATATAACTACTGACGAGATGTAACATAACTACGATATAACTGTACTGACGAGATGTAACATAACTACGATATAACTGTACTGACGAGATGTAACATAACTATGATATAACTACTGACGAGATGTAACATAACTACGATATAACTGTACTGACGAGATGTAACATAACTATGATATAACTGTACTGACGAGATGTAACATAACTATGATATAATTGTTCTGACGAGATGTGACATAACCACGATACAACTACTGACGAGATGTGACATAACTACGATATAACTGTACTGACGAGATATAACATAACTACGATATAACTACTGACGAGATGTAACATAACTACGATATTACTGTACTGACGAGATGTAACATAACTACGATATATTTGTACTGACGAAGTGTAACATTACTACGATATAACTACTGACGAGATGTAACATAACTGTGATATAACTACTGACGAGATGTAACATAACTACGATATAACTGTACTGACGAGATGTAACATAACTACGATATAACTGTACTGACGAGATGTAACATAACTACGATATAACTACTGACGAGATGTAACATAACTACGATATAACTACTGACGAGATGTAACATAACTACGATATAACTACTGACGAGATGTAACATAACTATGATATAACTGTACTGACGAGGTGTAACATAACTACGATATAACTGTACTGACGAGATGTAACATAACTACGATATAACTACTGACGAGATGTACATAACTATACGAGATGTAACATACTACGATATAACTACTGACGAGATGTAACATAACTACGATATAACTACTGACGAGATGTAACATAACTACGATAACTACTGACGAGATGTAACATAACTACGATATAACTACTGACGAGATATAACATAACTACTGACGATAACATAACTACGATATAACTGACGAGATGTAACATAACTACGATATAACTACTGACGAGATGTAACATAACTACGATATAACTACTGACGAGATGTAACATAACTACGATATAACTACTGACGAGATGTAACATAACTACGATATAACTGTACTGACGAGATGTAACATAACTACGATATAACTGTACTGACGAGATGTAACATAACTACGATATAACTACTGACGAGATGTAACATAACTACGATATAACTGTACTGACGAGATGTAACATAACTACGATATAACTGTACTGACGAGATGTGACATAACTACGATATAACTGTACTGACGAGATGTAACATAACTACGATATAACTGTACTGACGAGATGACTACGATATAACTGTACTGATGTATACATAACTACGATATAACTGTACTGATGAGATATAACATAACTACGATATAACTACTGACGAGATGTAACATAACTACGATATAACTACTGACGAGATATAACTACTGACGAGATGTGACATTACTACGATATAACTACTGACGAGATGTAACATTACTACGATAAAACTACTGACGAGATGTAACATAACTACGATATAACTGTACTGACGAGATATAACATAACTATGATATAACTACTGACGAGATGTAACATAACTACGATATAACTGTACTGACGAGATGTAACATAACTACGATATAACTGTACTGACGAGATGTAACATAACTACGATATAACTGTACTGACGAGATGTAACATAACTACGATATAACTACTGACGAGATGTGACATAACTACGATATAACTACTGACGAGATGTAACATAACTACGATATAACTACTGACGAGATGTAATATAACTACGATAGAACTGTACTGAAGTTATGTAACTATGATATACTACTTAACTATGTCTGTTTTAAGATATTGTGAGCTAACTTTATTCCTTTCGACATGTATCCATCTAATATAATTGTTCCAGAAGCATCATTGAGACCTTAATATTGCTTCAGAACGAAAGTTCCTGACTTTCTACGATTACCTTTATCTAAACATTGTTCGGTGTATTTTCAAACATATGTTTCGGGTGTAAATGGATTTGTCTACCTATTCCCTTCCGCTATTAATCATATTTAAATTAGATGCAGACAATTTTACATCCTTATTTTTTAAATCTGTAAATCAGCATAATTACCCGCATTTTGTCATTTTTTTCTCAAATCCAATTGATTTATTGGGTATAAAAATTAACTTACAACATTTTTACCATGATTGCGTTGTCAGGAAGTGTTGGTGTAATTATTTTATGCACACTTTAATTCTCGGCATGCGGGTGCTTCTCTGATTAACACTGAATTGAGGTTGGCAGTTATATGTTTTTGTCGGATCAACAGTAGAATTGTTTTGACATAAATACAAAAGAAGCCATGTTACGGTAAAATTACATTCTGTGTCGTGATATGTATTCTAGTTAACTCATATCATATGCTTGAATTAAAAACACGGAAATAACAAAAACTAAAGAACGGAAACTTTACAATAAAAAAAACTTGTAATAGGAGTTGAACAATTAGTCCACAAGTGTTGTAGCCTACTACTGATGATCTTTAACAGCAAAAATTAGTCAGGTTCTTAAATTGAGGAGAGTTGACTTGTGCTTCTATTTTCGTATGCCAATTTTTATTCTACTGTCAGTATTATGTTACGTGTGGTTAACCGACTTTTTTCCATTGTTAATATAAATGTAGGGATTGTCATATCACTGACTTATAAGTATTGTTTTATCATTAGTTTATCGTTACCTGAGCCTCTAAACACTGCTGGCATGCGGTGTGTGACCGGTACCTGAGTCTCTAGATACGGCTGGCATGCGGTGTGTGACCGGTACCTGAGCCTCTAAACAATGCTGGCATGCGGTGTGTGACCGGTACCTGTGCCTCTACACACTGCTGGCATGCGGTGTGTGACCGGTACCTGTGCCTCTAAACACTGTTGGCATGCGGTGTGTGACCGGTACCTGCGCCAGTGTGTGACCGGTACCTGAGTCTAAACACTGCTGGCATGCGGTGTGTGACCGGTACCTGTGCCTCTACACACTGCTGGCATGCGGTGTGTGACCGGTACCTGAGTCTCTAAACACTGCTGGCATGCGGTGTGTGACCGGTACCTGCGCCAGTGTGTGACCGGAACCTGAGTCTAAACACTGCTGGCATGCGGTGTGTGACCGGTACCAGTGCCTCTACACACTGCTGGCATGCAGTGTGTGACCGGTACCTGAGTCTCTAAACACTGCTGGCATGCCGTGTGTGACCGGTACCTGCGCCTCTACACACTGCTGGCATGCGGTGTGTGACAGGTCCCTGCGCCAGTGTGTGACCTGAACCTGAGTCTAAACAATGCTGGCATGCGGTGTGTGACCGGTACCTGTACCTCTACACACTGCTGGCATGCGGTGTGTGACCGGTACCTGAGTCTCTAAACACTGCTGGCATGCCGTGTGTGACCGGTCCTGCGCCTCTACACACTGCTGGCATGCGGTGTGTGACAGGTCCCTGCGCCAGTGTGTGACCTGAACCTGAGTCTAAACACTGCTGGCATGCGGTGTGTGACCAGTTCCTGTGCCTCTACACACTGCTGGCATGCGGTGTGTGACCAGTACCTGTGCCTCTACACACTGCTGGCATGCGGTGTGTGACCAGTACCTGCGCCTCTACACACTGCTGGCATGCGGTGTGTGACCGGTACCGGTACCTGAGTCTCTAGACACTGCTGGCATGCGGTGTGTGACCAGTACCTGTGCCTCTACACACTGCTGGCATGCGGTGTGTGACCGGTACCTGCGCCTCTACACACTGCTGGCATGCGGTGTGTGACAGGTCCCTGCGCCGGTGTGTGACCGGTACCTGAGTCTCTAAACACTGCTGGCATGCGGTGTGTGGTCGTTAATACTTTTGATATTTGGTTCGAATAAGACTACCTACAAGCAAGCCATTAGTACTATATTTTGTTAGTAACAAAGATGTTACAAGTCGGAATACATGCATGTGCATATATCTCTTTGGAAGAGTGGTTACTTTACGAGAGTTTATGGTATGCGTGTGTGTGTGCGTGCGTGCGTGAGTACGTGTTGGGTTTTTTTATCGGTATCGTTTGAAGCGTAATAATGTAACAGTTGGTGAATGGTCGCTAATCATTATGCAACCTTACAATTTCAGAAATATCTGGAAATATTATTTTGCTACAAATATCAACAAAAAGCATTCACAAGTTCATTATTTTCAAAGCAAAAATTGACTTCCATAAAAATTTTAGATGTCATTACAAAAATAATAAAGTACTACTTTTAGTACGTTTTTTAATCTGTGAACGCATTATCACCATTACTGGAACAAATAACATTTTGGTATAGGGAAATAGCATCTCCAAACAGAAACGGAAAAGTCTTCAAAGGAGTGTCGGTCTTAAGTGAGCGTGCGACATGATGACGTCAACGAGCTCGGTCAAAGTTCATCGAACCACCAATCAAAACACGTTACACTGTTTTATGTTTACAATAGTATCAAGGACGTAATGATAACTTGGAAGGTGAACAATACCTATCTATTGTAGAAATTAACTTGAAACTAAGAATTTGATAATTTTTTGGATCACACAGATAATTAATATGATCAAATCTAATATCACATGTTGCAGTCATACATTAGTTATAATTGACCGGAGTGAAACACGAAAGTCACGAGTGTAAATCTGATGGTTATTGTTCGTCAACAGAAGAGACTTTGCTGTAGAATCAACTGGACATTGACACTGCTAACGATGTTAATAAAAGCCGTGGTACGGTTTTAATTACAAAAGAAGGTAGAACAGAGTTCTTTAAACAATGTCTATTGTTACATGGAATATACGTATTGACTACACGTGATCAATTCTTTGTTTAAATCATTGAGATGTTTTCCTTTTAGTAATTATGCGTATGGCAACCCAGTATCACTGTTTATCAGTTATATTTCGTTTGGGATTAGGATCGTTAAGACACGAGGAGAGTTAATCGCGAATATAAATCCTTCACGATAATTTGTATGAAAATAACTCTGGATGGTCTCCAAAAGCTCATTATCCGCGAATTTCTAGATCAGCATCCGCGAAATCCAGTATTTAAAAATTAGTCTGAACAGATACATTCGCAAAATAAAGAATTTGCGAAATCTATGTGATTTACAAAACATACTATGTACGTTTCTTTATAGCAGATACCATGAAGCTTATTGCAATTGCAGCGACAATAGGAGGCGCGCTTGAGTCCAGACACAAGGTATGACGATCAAATATGATCGCTTTGATTTTCATTAAAATTTCCTTACTCACTTATCAATTCTTCAGGCTCAGATGCGCGAGATATTGAGTTTCTTTGTCGGCGACGTTTATCTGTAATTTAGGATTGAACCGAATAGAGTTACTTTTATTAAAGAAACATCATCATTATAAATTTAGAGTTACTAAAAGGTCTGATGTTACTTTGATCCCATCAAAAGATTTCTGTCATATTATCGGTCCTTTATCAGAAGAAAACAACCGAAGAGAAAATACAATTTACCGCTAAATCAAATTCTCCCGGCATTGTTTAGGTAATTAAATAATATTGAGGAATCCAGTGTTTGTTTTGTTTGAGCAGATGTCCTAGAAATCTAGATCGAACACAAATATTCACATAATAATATCATATCACAGACAATTGGG